GGCTTAGAAACAGGATGTCTATTTACATGTTTGGCAGTTGGTAAGAAATACCTCCTATGGGCTTAAGAATTCTCTGAAGTTGCTATATTGTGAAATTGAAGTAAAGCACCAAGGCAAAAATACTGCATCAAAATATAATGTGGGATATTGGATGAATTCCCAAAGTTAGGGTGGTGAAAGTAGAGAACGAATCCCCTTTTTTATTGAAAATGCTGGAGGACCAGAATGGAAATTACTTATTTCAGCATTGATGATTTACCCTGATTGTAGAAAAAGGCTTCAGAAGATAGAACGTAATCTTAAATATTCTATTTCAAAAGTATGCAGTGTTCTTCACATGTTTTAATGTGCTTTAGAATTAGCCCCTTTTCTTTCTTGCACATGTCTAAACGAGCTGTTCTAAGCTCATATTTAAAATATTTGAGCCTCATATTTCTGCTAATTCAGAAGAGAGGGAACTTGTATATCTTCCTTAAAATAAGTTTGGAAATTTTAGAATTATTTCCTTTTGTACTATGCGTCCATCATCTGAATTGAGAAACATTGCTATGGCCAGGATAGGCAAAGTGGAAAGGAAGAGAAAGGAATGGAAGAGAGGGGAGAAGAAGAAAAGGGCAGACCTATGCTGTCCTAATTTTTTATTACTGAAGTATAGTCAGTTTACAATGTTGTGACAATTTCTGACCCAGCAATCCCACTCCTGGGCATATATCCAGAGGGAACTTTAATTCAAAAATATACTTGCGCCCCAATGTTCAGAGCAGGACTATTCACAATGTGCTGTTTTTACTTTGCGATGAAACGCATTCTCTCTGACTTGAATTACTATAGTGTTCTCCTGCTTGCTACCAAAGGTCTGTTTTCCACATAGCAGTCTGAATTCTCATTTGAAAATATGGATTAGGTACTGTTTAAAATTCTTTGATGGTTTCCTCTTGCACTTAGAATAACATTCAAACTCTTTACTGTAGCCTGTAAGTGATTTGTCCTCTAACTTCTCAAATCTCTCTTCTTAGTCTCTACTTTGCTTTGAAAACATGTCAAGATTTTTTCCATTTCAGAGCCCTTTCACTTGACTTTCTTTTGCCCGGAACACTCTTCCTCCTGTTCTGCCTATGACCGGCTTCTCAACACTTAAGTCTCAGCTCAAAATTCCCACAGCAGAGACATTCCTTGACTAATTTATCTAAAGGAGTGCTGCTCTGCCTCAGCCCAGCCAACTCTTATCGTGCTGTTTGTTCACTTAATTCTTCATAGCACTTGTGCAATCTAAACTTACCTTCATTAAGATTTATTTACCTGAGCCTTGTCCCCTTGGATGAGGCATCTGGGAAGCAGGGTCTTTGTCTGTTTTGGCCATGGAGGTATTCTCATCCACTATCTCAGTCCCTGGCAGAGATTTAGTGCAAAATAAATATTCGCTGAATAAGTGGATGAGTGAAATAAAGAATCTGAGTATGGCTGGAGTTCTGGGCCTATGTGTGTTGAAAAGAGGAATGGTAAATTATAAAATGTCTAGAAGTTTTTCTAGAACTTTCCTAGGGAAGGTTTGTATAGTGGTAAATCAGAGGAAGTTATGCTAGAAAGATAGGGAGGGGGTGAAATCCTGCAATTTTTTTGAGTTGTCATGGTGCGTAGTTTCTGGAATCTCTTTTGTGGTCAATGGAGAGCCATTCTTTAAACCTTCACTTTTAAGCAGTTAATATGTACTTCTGAGATGCTCCTTTTATTATTAATTACAGAAAATCATCTGTGTGTCCTAAAAGTTTCATTCATTCACCAGTGGACAGAGTAACTTCCAAATGTCTGCAGAGTATTGATTTAATCAGTCTTGGTTTCTTTTCCTGTGCAGCATGGCTGCCACGTACAGATATGCTTCTGGGCTGGCAGGAAAAAATGTTTGCCTTAGTTCTTCACAGCTGGAGATGAAATGGCCCAGAGCTTCCTGAAGGCATTTCTTACCAGTATTTCTCATGTCTCAGCGGAACAGCGGGCTCCCCTAAAAGTATGATACCACCTTGTTGAATCATTCCCCTTTCTCAGTTGTACTATATTTTACAATTTACTTTTCTAATGTGTAGAGTTACCCTCACGTTAGGGTTATCCTTTCCTGTGGTATATTTTATTTTAGTCTTATAGGAAGTCCAGTTTGAAGCCTTTACATGCATGCAGTTAGCTTCTTGTTTATTTCAATAGAGTAGTGGGTAGATCCTTCCTTAGCTGAAACCTAGTACATATAAGACCTTGTAATAATCTCCATCCAATAATAGTGTTGTACTTAGCGCACACATGTTCACCCAGACTTTTCCTACCACTTCAGATGGGTGTATCTAATTTCAAAAAATGGAGTGCAAAGATATCAAACTTCCAGTTGAAATAATGGCCAGTTTTATAGTCTCTGACTGCCAATTCTAGTTTCCTGAATTGGCTCACAATAATTTAAAAGCCAGTACATGAATAAGTTTTATGATTCAACCTTAAGTCATGGAGTATTCTTTATATTCATATTGGGGAAGATAGTACTATGTTTAATACTGGATTATAAATGGGGAGAGTGCCTAATAAGCAAAATACCAATGTGGTCAATTTTAAGAGAAGGAACCAATTCATCAACATTGGCTGACAATTTTCAAGAGCTACTGAAGCACATTCATCAGTGATGATCGGTATTGGAAGCTCTCAGTGTGAATGATGACTTCAGAGATGTTATTTCAAGCTACGTCCCTTCAGTCCATTATAGCTTATGAAGTATACTCACATGTAATACACTTTCTGATTTGTAAGTATTTACTTACAACTTTTTTCTCTTAGACATATCATAGACATCATCTATACGTAAAGTAGGTGGAAAACAACAACAACAACAAAAATGTCATGTGGTCCCTATCCTCAGAGAGCTCGACTAGGAGAGACAAATATACTCAGGTAGATGCCGTGTTCAGCAGAGTATGATAAGTACCAGTAGTGGATAAGGTGATTTTGCAGTGCTAGCCAATAGCTAAGGGGTGGAGAAAGAATCTCTTAGAGAAAGCAGGATTTAAAGTTGGTCTTACAGGATATGTTAGATTTCAATAAGAAAAGAGCAAAGGACAGAGGATCTCTAGGTCAGTGGAACAGCCTGAGCAAAACATGAAGGTAGGAAATTGAAAAATGTATAAAAATGTATCTATGCTCCTTCAAAGTCAACGGCTGATGTTATAAAGCTAGACTGTGGCAATGCTAACCTGTTTTGATCATGACTTATAATTTGACTCAACTGGAGGTAGTTTCCAGCAACTGCAAGTATCTTACTACATCTCCATAAATTATGTCTTTCAGAATTGTAGACTGTACATGCCCATCATTAAGAAGAGTATATTTGCATCTCTGAAATAGATAGATCATATATAAATTGCAGTTTTTAGGGTTTTAGTGATTTCTGAAGCACATTTTTATGTTACACAATTAAATCTTTCCAAAATCTTGTGCAGTAGGTGGTGGTATTGGGGTTTCATGAACATTAAAGCAGAACTTTAGGAGAACTGAAACACAAATGTTTAAATGACTTTTTCCAGGGTCACCTGATCAATAAATGTAGACATATGCCCAATTTAGAACATGTTCTTTTTCCTCCGTATCTATATACTTGGCACTACGTAGATGTCCATACAATTCATATTTATCTATGCTGGTGTATGAGAAATTGAAGAATTTAAATTAAGAAAGAAACCAGGTCCAAAATTAGTGATTTTGAAAGCCAGAATAATTCTGGGACCACAGAACTGAGAACAAAGGTAAAAGTGAAAAGAAAAGCTGATTTCAGGCAAGATTTAATGGAAGAAAATGCCAGTAGCTAAGCTTATGCAAATTAAAAAGAAAAAAAAAGGCTTTACCATTATTAGTTAAGGATATGAGATCTTAAAATAAGGCAGTTTATGTTTTCTAGGATGAGAGATAAGATTCTTTATGTTTCATGAGATGGCAGTGACTGGGGGCTTAGAAACTTCCTACTTTTTTCTTTTTCTTACTAATGTTTGAGTGGCCAGACTATCAAAAGCTGATTCAGTTGAATCCTATATGCCTTCTATGATTTTATATTTACTTGCTCAATAACAATGAGTTTCACTCTTCATATTTCAAAATAGACCAAACATAATTTGGATTTCACCATGAAAATGACTAATATTACTGTGAATATTCACTTTTCTGAAATGGGGCGAAAGGCTCTGTCTGTAGACATTCTCCATGACTAAAGCATAGGACAAAATGTCTTAAACTGAGTAAAAATGCATCGTTGCACGTTACATGGAGAGCGGCATATTAAGTGGTTTAAGAGGAGATTTATGGCATCTATGCAGGTTATTAAAACTCTTCCTTTTGTATTAATGAGACTACAATTATAAGTTTGGAATCAGTACCTCAGTCAAAGGAATGTGGTAGAGCATTTTGTGTGCTGCATTTAGTATCTCTTATGGATTGGAATAATTCATTCATTTTAACTTTGTGTTCTTTATATTCTGACAACAAATTTGGAGTGGGAGGTAGGCATATCCAGCATCCCCAGTCTCATCTTTTGGAAAGTCATAATTTGTTTATACTTCTGTTGTCAGGATTAAAGGCAAAACGAACAAAAAGAAAAGAGAAAATAAAAAACAAAAATGTTGAAAATGTGAATTAGAGGTGGCACAGCCTCGGCAGCTTTTTCCTTAATCATAAAACAAACAGAAGCATGTAGGTTCAATTTCCCAGAAAACACAGATGGCTTAGAAAAGAGGGGGAAGAGAAGGAACTTGGAACAAAGCACATGTATCCATTTTCACCAAAGCCGTAATATCTACGTGTCATTTTAGGAACTGTCTATTAACCTCCTGCCCTTTAGCGTGGAGGCTGAGTATAGTGAATGTGAACTTGAACCCAGCCCTGACACTTCGAGTCTGTGAGACCTTGGACTGGTACTGAACCTGGTTTAGAAATATTTGCCTTCATTTGGTACTTTTTTTTTTTTTTTTAAATCTTTATAGCTTAACCAGCTGGATAAGGCAGTGGAAGCAGCCCACACCTTTTTCATGGCCAACCCTGAGCACATGGAAATGCAGCAGAATATTGAGAATTACAGAACCATGGCCGGCGTCGAAGCCCTCCAGCTGGTAGATCGGGAAGCCAAACCACACCTGGTGAGCTCTGGGCACCCTGCCCGTCTCTCACTGGACTCAAAGCAGGTTCCTGTGAATGGATAGCTCAGACTGATTCCCAGTTTCTGATTCTGTACCAGTTTTATACTTTTGGAATTCCCAGACGAAATACCGTAATTCAGGGTTGAAAACATTGAGAGAAAATAAAAATTAACTTAGAAAATCAGTATAATATGGTGAAAAGTAGGATGCGAGTGAACATCTGCAACCCTCTCTGAGCCTCAGCACCCCCTCTAGCACTTTTTAAAAGATTTTGCCACGGGAGTAAAAGCCCATGTGAATTTCCTGAGAGCCGGGAAACATTGTGGTTTCCCAGTTCCCAGTCCCAGTTCTGGTTTTTCCAGTACTTTCCAAATTCTGATTACTTTTTCTTAAGCTACGTAAGTGTGCCTTTAAATGAAATCTTACGTGAAATCACAATATGTGGAAAGGGCTTCTTTTTCAATTGGAGACATCACCATTCTCAGCGTGTGGCCTCCCAGATGATGGAAGACAAAGGTAAGAGGATGATTTTAGATAGGTCTTTTTTTTTTTTTCTTTTCATTTAAAAAAAAAAGATCCACCCACATCACTTTGTTGCATGGCCTTACCTATATTCAAAGAGGTTACAAAATACAGTCTTGAGTGAGCTCAGGAAGAAAATGGAATGGATTGATGTGACAGCAATCGGCTTGCTCAGTCAGTCCCTCCTCATTTATGAGGAGTTGATGCCAGGGAAGTTACCCTTTACCTCCCAGAGCAACCTTTTTTTATCATCCACCACACAAGAGTCCTACCCTCCACCTACCTAAGTGACCTGGAGTCTGCCTGAATCCATTCAAGTGCCCCTTAGGTGCTCTTTGAAAATAAAAGTCTTTTCTGTTTCTTCACAGGAGAGTTACAGTGCAGGAGTAAAACACTATGAGGCTGATGACTTTGAACTAGCTATCAAGTACTTTGAACAAGCTTTAAGAGAATATTTCAACGAAGATAAGGAGTGCAGAGCCCTGTGTGAGGGGCCTCAGAGATTTGAGGAGTATGAGTTCTTAGGGTATAAAGCTGGTCTCTACGAAGCCATTGCAGGTAAAGTTTATTTTTTTCCCTTGACTTCCTGATTATAGAAATATTATATGCCATCTGTGAAACTATTCAACCATACGGAAGCATATATTGTAATAAGTATACATTGTAAAAAGATTTTCATATATGTACCCCATCCTGTCTCCGGTAGATCACTTTACCTAGTTTAAATCTGGTGACTGTGCTCCCAAACTTTTCCAGACACATTTGTAAATATTTACGTATTTATTTGTAAGTATTATCTTACTTTTATAGAAATAAGACAATAATATAAATTACTGATTTTCAGCATATCTTTGCTTTTGTTTTATGCTTAACAATATATTGAGGACATCTTCTCACGTAAGTACATGTGGATCCACCTTATTGTATTTGATGGCTATGTGATGTTGCATTGTATGGGGAAAAATGCAATGTTCCATTATGTATAATACAACCTTCCATTGTAAGGTCTGGTCATAATTTACAGATGAATATTAAGGAAGTTATAATTTTTTCATTACGATAAACAATGTAGTAATGAATAGCTTTGTACAGTCTTCTTCAATTACTTATGAATGTATTATTATATATAGGAATTTAATATATTACAAAGTGGCATTTACAATAGTAGGTGGAGCAAGGAGGGTGTAACTCAGCGGTAGAGTGTGTGTTTAGCATGCACCAGGTCCTGGGTTCAATCTCCAGTCCCTCTATTAAAAAAAAAATAAAATAAAATATAAAAATAAACAAATAAACCTAATTACTCCCCTCCCCCCCAAAAAAAGATGCTGAAATAAAATAAAGTAGTAGATAAAGTGCATTGTATACTAATTGGGGAGATTGGCTAGCTAACCACTTATGGTGGGAAGTGAGTTCTTTGCTGCGTATGAAAAAATATACACAAATTCTATTACGTTAATAATATGTGTAAAAAATAGAACTATTAGAAGAAAATGCAAGAGAATATTTGTGTAAGAATAGGAAAGCCCTTCTTAGCATGACAACAGACAAGAAACTTGAAGAAAAAGACTTTACATAAGATTTATAAATATAAAAGCCGCTATAAATCAAGTTGATTTATAATAGCAAGTGGAAAAATTTGCAAAATGTTTATGGGAAAATAGTAACTTTAATCTTTAAGCAGATTATGTGAATTATTATTACTAGTGGTAATTTATTTCTTATTTATTGGTAATAATAATAAGCAAAATTTATTTAGCAGTTACAGTACACAGAGCATTTTACATAGTTATATTTATTTTAATCCTTGAAACAGTTCCTTGTAGGTAGGTAGTATGGTTATTTACCCTCTTCTCCCCTTTTAAGTGAGGAATTTATACCTCAGAAAAATTAAGTAACATGATTAAGGTGAAGCTGGGCATCAAACCTAGGGTTTTCTCATTCTAGAGCCCATACTTGGAAGGTCTACACAATTGAAAAACGGACATATATGTATATACACACCAGATCTTCTTTATCCGTCCATGGATGGACACTTAGGGTGCTTCCATATCTTGGCTATTGTGAATCTATCAATTTGTCAAATGACCTATTTGCAACACATTAAACTACCCCAAATCGATGCAGTTCACCTAAAATCAATACAAATATTGGAATTATTGGGGACCTTTGCCCCCAAAGGCTTTGTTTTGTTGGGCCTCTGCCAGAGCCATCTACCTGCATTTTTGTCAGCACTGCTCATTGAAACGTCAGTTTCATGTGTGCTTCACATTTAAATTGCTGACTATTTCTTCAACTTCAGCTTTTATTTGGGAATGAGCAGGCTTTTTCTTGATTACAGTTTACTATCTTGTGGGTTTTGAGGATAGGTGCCCTGCCTCCGTGCCCACATCCATCTCTACACCTGCCTCTACCCCTGGCCACTGAACAGCTTTGGCAAATGTCCTAGCTCTGCTTTGAGAAAACTGATCAACAAATTCCCACAGATTAACCTTTAGTGATTTTTCTGAGGTCATCACAGCATGTTGGTTGCTGGAAAAGAAGTCTCCTAACTCAGGCTCCTAAGACTTAACACAGCACCATTACCCTCACTTCCAATAAAGAAAAGTGACGTAAAAAAAAGTTATAGTTTCTCAAATTCAATCAAATATTATATATTACAGAAATATTCTAAGTCTTCTTGAGGATTTGAAGCACATCTGATTTATTATGAGAAAGAAATCTTTAAAAGTATTCCTATACACGTGTCTTGGATCTCAGATATATTAAAACATAGTAATTGCACAGTAACATTTGATACAGGAAAGAGGCAAGCAATATGACTAATAAAAAAGGGCTATCACAGCTCTAACTATGTAAATTCCTGTCTGGCTCAAAACTATCCTAAATTAGGAGTAAAACTGGCTTGTGAAAATACAGAATGCATTTAGAAAGCCAGAATTTGTGGATTTAAGAGTTATAGAAACATTACAAATTGGAGACAAGCACAAATGGCTTCTGAATGTAGTTATTTATCACCAGGCGTGCTTGCCGAAGCCTTAAAGGATAGCATTTTGTCACTCTCACTTTACTGCTGTTTGTGTCTTGCTTTGAAAAATGCTTTCATTCAGATTTTGGATTCTTGGTGGGTGTGCTTCCCACCTTTTCCTTTTGCTTGTCTTTTGGAATTAAAAGGTAAAGAGAGAAGCAAACGGCCAGCTAGACCAGGAGAAAACGGTTGAGGTTTGTTTGTTGTCTTCTTAAGAAATAAAACAGCTAGCTATTTATTTCTAACATGCCAATCAAGGAAACAGAACTTATTCTCCCCCTCATGTCCTCCAAGTGGAATTAAGAACCAATGACCAAAACAAAAAAACAAAAAAAACAAAAAAACAAACAAAAAAAACAACACCAGTGGACCACCATGATCCTATTAGGTGTGCTGTATTGGATTGAGTCGGCCAGGAGAACTGGCACATTTTCCTACACACCAGAGAACATATATTTCCTTTCTGTTGTGTTTTGAGGTCCCTTTTCAAGGTCATCCAGATACAAGCCAAACTCTGCCTAACAGAGAGCCTTTTGAGAGGAGGCAGTCGTGAATTAGACCGTGCAGTCATGAATCGGGTGGTTTTATCATTATTCCCCAGGGAACTTGCTCTGCACAAGCATGAATGGACTGTTCTCTTAACGGAAAAGACTCCCTCCATCTTCATTGTCAAAATCAGAGTCGGGGCAAAATGTAGGAAGGGTTTTCTTCCTGGGACATTAGCCACTTGTGTTTCCTCAGCTCATGTTCGGATAAGATAGAGCCCAGAGCTAAAGGGAACGTGAAAACCCCTACACTTCAAGATCCTTGCCCGTTTGCAGGCGCAAGAATGGAAACAAAGAAAGGGGACCACAGGAAAAGAGGCAAAACGCTTCTTCAAATTCTTCAGCGTTCGTCCTTCTGTTTCACAGGTGCCTACAGTATTAGGGTTTACAACATCCAGGTGATGGACCAATTTGTAACCGGATAGAAGAGGTTCTTGATTAACACATGTAAAGGAATGTTGTTTTCACTCCCCCTATAGGAAAAGTTGCTTGAAAAGTTAACAGGGAAGAAGAGCATTCTGGCTTTACTTTTCTGTGTGAACTCCCCAAGTACAGGCAGATCCTTTCTCTCACCTGGTCCTTAACATATCCTGGATCTGACCTTCCGATCCTGACTCCAGGACACTTCAGACCACCTAAAGGCCAAAGAGAGACCCCAATTTCTTATTGTTAAATAAGAAAGTCATCTGCTCAGCTGGGCAGGGGTGAGATGGCCGATGTCACTTTGAGGAGATGTAGATAAAAGGACACACAGAAGGGTACAGTGCAATATGGAGGCAAGACCAGCAGCCGGAAGATTTGGAATCTGCTAGTCATTGATCTAGTGATCACTGGGACGGGGGGTTTGGCAAGTCACTTTCTTTGTGAAAAGGACTTCCAGTCACAAAGTGAGGATAACAATGACATGCCTCCCAGTGTACTGTGAGGTGAGGAATGCCCTATGTGACCGTGGTTCTCACTCTCAAGTCTGGACTTTGAGCGGCCTGGAGGGACCCACTTCTCAGCTCTTGTCTTCCAGATCACTACATGCAGGTGCTGGTCTGTCAGCATGAATGTGTGAGGGAACTCGCCACGCGCCCTGGCCGCCTCTCACCCATCGAGAACTTTCTTCCCCTGCATTATGACTACCTACAGTTCGCCTACTATCGAGGTAAAGCGTGGATTATCCGTGAAGACCTTTGTGGGGAGGGGTGGCTCATCATAGCAGACGTCTCGTCTTCATCAGTTCGTCCTCTGCCTTCCCAAGTTTATGATCAAGCCGTGGGGGTGTTTGCGTTTTCTCTCTCACCTCACTCACTAGAGCTCAGAGCAAAGAGAGCAAGAGGTGGAGCCACGAGTGGGCCAATGTTGTGACAATGTCCTGAAAGTTATACAACACTGATATTTTATAGGATGTTTAAATTTAATTTTCAACTTCATTTTGAAAGGTAATATACTCACAGTTTCAAAGAACAAATATCATAAAAGCTTCCCTTTCTTTTCCCCACAACTCAACTTTATGCCCTACAACCCAAGATTTATTTACCCTCCCTAAGTTTTATAGAGAAATAAGACACACACACACACACACACACACACTCTCTGACCTGTTTCCTCCTCTTTACACTGTTCTCCACATTGTTTGCTTCAATTAACAACACATTTCAGACTTTTTAGTAGGTTGGACCTACGAAATTACTTTTTGCTTGGTCAAAAGTGGTCTAATTCTGGGAGTTTTAAATGGTTCGATCTAATTGTTTCAGTATACAGATTTCTCTTTACATTCACATATGATCTTGATGTTTCTTTATATCTACATATCATTATACTGTAATTTATTTCATGTGTCTCCTGACTGATAAGCATTGTGTTGTTTGTAATATTTTACTATTACAGTCAATGATCAGATGAATAATATTTTATGTATGTAATTTACAATTGCGCATAAATACCTACAGAGTAAGTTTCTAGATGTACAATTGCTGCATCAAATAGTTTATTCATTTGTAATTTGGACAGATGTTGCCAATTTTTTTATCCACACGGAGTACAATTTTCATTGTTCATCAACAGAATACACTACCAAATTTTTAGATATTCCCTAACCCATTAAGTGGAAATTGGTATTTCAATAATGTTTTAATTTCCATTTATCTCATTGAGAAAGAAAGGGAGCATCTTTTCTTACATTTAAAAGCAATTAATACCATTCGGCTTGCAGAAATTGGTCTTAGATATCACATTTGCGAATTCAGCTCAGAAATCAGAATTCACTCCAAAAATTCTGCTCTGTATTAAATAATATCAATTCTCAACAAACATCTCCGGGTGGAAGCTTTTGATAATTTATTGAAGACATGTAGCAGCGTAGAAGACCAATGTGAGTAGCTTTGGAATACCTGAAACCGTGTCCTTCGTTTTATCTGCAACTATTTCTGCTTCCTCTACTCAACTGTTCCCTTCTTATTGATCATTTAATGCTGACTTCTTGTAGACATGTTGAAGCAGTTCTTAAAAATTCCTGAGACCCACCGAGGCTGACTCTAATGCGGCAGCTCCTTGGTTTTTCAGTGGGCGAATATGTGAAGGCCTTGGAGTGTGCCAAGGCCTATCTTCTGCTCCATCCAGACGACGAGGACGTCCTGGACAACGTGGACTTCTATGAGAGTCTGCTGGATGACGGCACCGACCCAGCGTCTGTTGAGGCCAGGGAGGTGAGACCCATGTTCTGCTAGCAGCTCTGGGGAGAGCTGGTAAAAATATAACCCTTCTCTTAAAGACATGTAACCATTTAGTAAAGGTTCTAGGACTCAGTTCTTTCCAGCTTTAATGATTAATGCCAGAAGTGTATTTTTTCACGTATGTGCTAGCTTGTGAAAATCTATGGAGATAGAGACATTTTTTGCAGCTGTGAATACTTTTTTAGCACATTTGTTAACGTCTAAAGAAAAAATGTTTTCCACTTGAACATTTATTATATCTCAATTGTTATTTAAATATACTTTTTTTTTTTCTGTAGGATTTGGTGATGTTTGTGAAGCGTCATAAACTGGAGTCAGAACTAATACGATCAGGGGCAGAGGGCCTGGGCTTTTCATACACTGAGCCGGTAAGAGCAGAGAGGAGAGAGGGGATGTTCTCTGGAAGAACTATTCAGTGGACTTCTTAATTTTGATTTTATTTTCCAGCCCCATTTGTTGAAGATTCTAATCCCCTGCCTCGCATTAATAAAACCTGAAAGGAAGGAGGTGTTTATTCTATATTTGTGATGAACTTTAAAAGACTTTAATAATTTTCCACATCACTGAGGCCCCAAGTCAAAAGCAAGTATCTTCTGTATAGCACAGGGAACTACCTTTAGTATCCTATAGTCACCTATAGTGAAAAAGAATATGAAAATGAATATATGTATGTATATGTATGACTGAAACATTATGCTGTATGCCAGAAATTAACACATTGTAACTGACTATACTTAAAAAAAAAAGCAAATATATTTTGCTAGGAAAGCAGTATTTTGTACATGATGCAATTACCTCAAGATTGTTTTATTTCCTAACTTCTGCATGCAACATTTTGTATTTTCTCTTCAACATTTCAAGCATTAAGACTTTGAAAGAACAAAATCAATCATAATTGTACCACCCATCATGCTGTCTTTTCTCCACTTGTCCACGTTGCCTTTTAAACATTATTCATATGAAGACATACCTTTTGTAGAACCAGTAACACAGTACAAATGGATTTTTATTGTGACTTTTATTTAAGATAGCATAGGCTGTTTTTTATATCTTTACATTTTTTAAAATTACTTTTAGCTACAAATTACTTTTAGCTACATCTATGTAGTTGATGTACAATAAATGAGTTAATTCTCCTGCTGCTGAACATTTGGTTTATTTTGATTCTTATGCCAAAATGAATGCATTAAGCATTTTTCTTTCCTATTGAACTATATCCATAGAATACATTCCCAGGAATGGAATTACTCTGCCATCAAAGGATATAAGAAATTTTAAAATTTTTGAAATTATTTTTCTAAGAGAGTTTTCTGGTATCTTCATTATTCCTAGCAATGCAAAGTTTAAAGTTTAAGGTACAGTTGACCACAAATATCTCAGCAATGAGAAATAACATTTTAAATGTTTTTAAAATCATTAATATTTCTAATATATTATGTACAAAATGGTACATCATTGTCATTTTAGTTTATATTCCTTTGATGACCAGCAAAAATAAACTTTTCACAAATTATTATCGGTTTTTCCTCTCATTTGAATTACCTGGACATATATTTTGTTCATTTATCTGTTGGTTGCTATGTAAGTTCTTTATATACTGTACATGTTAATATGTTTACAGAAAGCACTATTTGTAATATATCTTATTTTTCACTTTTTAAAATTTCTTTCTTAGTTGTGTTTTCATTGGCACACTTAAAAAATCAGGAAAATTTTAATGTACATTTCTAGTGTAAAATTTCTAGTATGTTTATATCTGGTTTTAGTATGTTTTAAAAATTACGTTATCCCAGAGACCCCAGGAAAACAATCACTTACTCACTTTACGATCCTGTGCAGATGATTAACCAAACTGGACTTTTTATTTGTTTGTCTTATTTATAAAAGATAAAGGAGTTGTACTTAATGATCTTTTAAGTGTCTTCCCACCTCTAAATTCTAAATCACTTTCTTGGACAACAGGATGGATGCTCAGGCTAATTCCACGCTATTTTTTTTTTCAGTCCATTTGTGCGTCATTTTGTCTTTGTCAAAGCTGCATCAACCTTAGCCTTCCTTTTTACTAAAATTTTAAATACTATATTGTAGCTTTGTATAACGTGCAAGTTTTCTAATATTTTAGGTCTTTTGAGTGTTTTAAGTATACATTTTATTTTATTTCTGTACATGACATTTTAGTGACAAAATACTGAGGGTTTTTTTTTTTTCAATTTCAAACAGAATTATTGGGCTAGATACGGAGGACGGCAGGATGAGAATCGGTAAGTTCTCCGTTCGGAACACAAAATGCTTATTTTTAATGAGATGAAATACTTAGAGTTATGCTCACTATAGAGAACTTAGGTCTGTGAAATAGTCAGAAGGATATGATTAAAAGGACTCTGAACTGGGGATTAGTTCTGAGCTGGGACTCTGCATTCTGGTCTCAATTTTCCCTTTACTTCTGAGGGTCCTTAAATAATTTATCTTCCTCTGGGGGTCTCATGTTTTTCCTCACAGCAAAAGGTTGAATCAGGTGATCTCTGAGGGCTAAATGTTATGTGATTTTAAATCAGAGGAAGTTGGATCTCTTTTTAATGCTGAATTTTCTTACTGAATTTCTTTGAAAGCATGAAGCTCAGAAAGTTTTATTGCAAGCTAAAATATGAGGTGTCATGAACTCAATCAGATACGAAGAAAACTGACTTTTTAAAATGATGGATGTCAAAAGTCAATTACAAGATTTGCAGATACTAACTACTATATATAAAACAGATAAACAAGTTTATACTATATAGCACAGGGAACTATATTCACTATCTTGTAGTAATCTACAATGAAAAAGAATATGAAAGCAAATATATGGATGTATATGTATGACTGAACTATTATGCTGTACACTAGAAATCGACCCAACATTGTATATTGACTATACTTCAGTAAAAAAATAAGTAAAATTAAAAAGTCAACTACACATTCTGAGCAGTTTAAGGAATCATAGACTGTTGGAGTTACTTGTTTGAGGTCACAAGGTCCAGGCTGTTCATTTTCAAATTCAGAAGCTGAGGCCCGGACAAAGGCAAAAGACTCAAAAGTGTCTCACCACGAAGGACTGACAGACCTAGGTCTTGTTCAAAATCTTGTGGTCTTTCTCTAAGCTCCAAAGGCTCAACACCTGGGTGGCCTCAAACTATTGAAAGAGATCCAAGGATGTATGCACACATTTGGATTTGCTCAGTTTGCATACATGGAAGGGGCATCATGCTATTATGTGTATGTTTGCAAAGTCTGACATAAACTTGTGTCTTCTTTCCTGGAATAGTTGAGAATCACTACACTAGGACATGATTTATTTCAATTCGACCATCGTTTAGTGATGCACTCTATATTCCAGACACCTAATATGACCCTCAGCATTATAAACATGCACATGATCATTCTTCCCTGCGCTGTTGGTACTCAAAGTCTGATCTCAAGGGGGTTATGTTATGGATACAATTAACTATAATAACTTCTTGCTGAGAAGATTTAGAGAAGTGAAATGGAGCACCCTCATTGAAGAAACAGAGAAGAGCTTCATGGAGGCAATGATGTCTGATTTGATCTCGAAAGATAAGTGGCCTTGTGTACAAGAAAATAATCAGTATGAAGTCAGAGACTGTCCTTTGCCTTTGAACATCTTTCCTGAGTGGAAAATTATTTCAACTCTTTGTTATTTTTTGAATGTGCAGGGTTCCTTCAGGAGTGAATGTGGAAGGGGCCGAAGTTCATGGATTGTCAATGGGGAAAAAGTCATCACCCAAGATCGACCGAGACCTAAAAGAGGGTAAGTATCATTGAACCTTTACTCTTAGAAAGAGGAGATGAAGAGGCTGGGGCTTGACGAGTTCTTACCCAGAACAAGACAGAACCCATTTTCACTGAAAAATAAGGAATAGAACTAAATGACTCCAGTTCACAAAATTCTGGAAGCAAGGCTTAAAAACAAGACTGTCTCAGATGTCCATATAATTTCTTTGGTTGTCAACAAAAGTGCTTCCAATTCATTCACAGGAATCCTGTGAGCTAGACAGGGACTCTGTGATCACCGCTGTCCTCAGATGAGTACCTGAGGCTTGAAGAGGTTACATTGCTTACTTCTCTCACATCGTGAGTGAGAGCATGGAATAGACTGTGTATTGGGGGAACTTGAAGAGACAGGTCGCTCAGGTTATTGGATTAGTTAACCTGAGATCCTTGAGGCATATGTATCTGATCAGGGCTTTGAGAAACAAGTAGAATTTAGACTGGATTGACAGAAGTGTGGAGGGAGCCATCAGAGTGGATAAAGCAACCACTGCAAAGGCACAGAGATGGAGAGAGCAGAACATTAGATGCCTGCTTACAGAATCTCAAAATTACTGGAGACGTAGTTGGAGTGTTGCCAAAAGCAGCTTTTAAACAGAGCCAAATATTGTTGTAATAATAAATTATTAGCAAGTGTAGTTCTAACAGCAGTAGTTATCCTTAACAATTATTATCATCTCTGTATGTTTTATAATTTTTCAAACAAATTTATACACAATTCATTTTAATACTGGAAGCATCTCCTATGAGGTGTGTCCCCACTTCACAGGCAAGAAAACTGAGGCTCACCAAGATTCATGACTTGTCCAAAGTCTCACAGCTTTTAATAGGTAGAACAGGCTTTTGAACCCAAACCTCATTTCCTCTTTTTCACCTGATGATGGAACATAGAAATGGCTATGCATCCCAAATGTCTCCCCTACTGATTAAATAATTGCAAGATGAGAAGAGGTTTTCAAGAACCTGTACTGAGAAAAAGTACAGTTCTTCTTTCCCCTACAAGAGAGCCGTCAGCACATTCCTCTAGCTGATTTGAAAACTTCTGGCTCTCTACAGCTCTCACATTTCCAGCCCTTTCCTTCCTCGGCTTCCAAGTCAGTTTGAGGCAGTAAACAGGATAATATGCTCATCTAATCTGACCTGGACCTCAGTTTGTAGTCACATAGCCCAAGCTGTTTTACAAGTGCCAGAGGGCTTCATGGTCAGCCAGAGTTCACGTTGCTTTTTAAGCTGAGAAATCACCCAGGAAGTACGTGCCAAGAAGCCAGCACTTTGCTATAAGGGTTTGGGAAACTCTAGGATGGTTGCCAAATTTCAAAGCCTTTTTCTCCCTGGCTACCAGAAGATCTGATGTTCAGCAACCGACTAGGAAGACTGATGGGAAGAGTAGAACAGGAGACGACACAGGATGGAGAAAGGTCGCGATTGACTGGTTACCAAAGTCTGTCATCTCTGCAGCTGAATGGCTAACGGGTCTTAGGATGCTCTCTGGGACCCTACTGGAAAGCCTTCTGTGTAGTCTCTAGAGATCAAAATGAGGTCTAAATTAAGAACAGTGGTAGACAGAGGCAAAGTTCCTGACTAGAAAACACTTCACATCTTAGTCTGCTGAAAGCAGACGTCAAGGAGGCGAGAAGAATGCGTGCTTCACAGAGTAGAATATATGTCAGCTTCTCTCATCGTCCACAAAGAGATCGTCGTCTCCTCTGGTTACCTGCCAGTATTTAGTAGTATTCATACTGGATGGTTCCCAAGCATTAAAATGGGAGTGACCGAAAGCTCCTGCATCCCAGAGTGACTCCGGTCCATGGAAAATGCATGGCAACTTACTAAACCATCTGTCGCTTGCTCATTCTTCTTTCCACCACCCGTTTTCCAAAGGTCCTGTTTGATAATAATCCCAGAGTCCGTGGGGGTGTAGCAGAAACTACTCTGAACTGGGACTCAGGAGGCTTAGTTCCCAGGATTGTCTTAGTCTGATGCTCTCCACAGGGATGGATAACCAGAGAGTCTTTCTCTCTGAGCTCTATACCCTCACCTGTGAAAGGAGGCTAGCAACTCTTTGGAGAGGATGAAAGTGAAAAGTTTTGTAAACTGTAAAGGGCTGTGTTCACAGAAAGGCTTGTTAGCGTACTCCTGTCATGACTTGTATGACATTGTGTTATTTATGGCAAAATGTTTCTTCTTGCCACAAGCCATAAGCAGTGGACACAAAGGAGTATTTTCCTAGATGATTCCTCTCTATTGCAGCTGGAGGGTCAGAGCCAGGCGCATACTTCATGAATGAGAGAAGAATTAAGTTGTTTAACTGAATCTTCTTGGGCTGTGGTTAAGAGTTGGCTGAAGTCATCATCAGCTCAGTCCCCAGGAACCGCAACTTATTGGACTATATTTTTATTTTTGTTTTAATGTTTTTCTCTGTCTGGTGTGCTACTAGTCATTTGTTGGCTGGCAGTCTTTGTTTCTGACTGGCAGGATTTATTTTCCCTTCTGTATTTTTTGTCCTTTTGGTGAGTGGATAGACAGTTGCTTGGTTTTTTGTTAAAAGTCTATGTGGGAAACCTTTGTATAAAACTGTATGCTTAGTGGCGGTTGTGCTAGTTACATGGAAGGCAGATTTCTAGTACAGATTCTGCCTGAACCTGCTGAGGTTTTTTTTAGACTCTGTTAAGCTCTGTTCCTTCACCTGATCTTTCTTTTTTTTTAGTTATTTTTTTCCTTTTTTTTTTAAATTTTCAGAGGGGAGGTAATTGGGTTTGTTTATTTTTAATGAAGGTATTGGGGATTGAACCCAGGACCTTGTGCATGCTATGCAAGCACTCTACCACTGCGCTACGTCCTCCTCCACTTCACCTGATCTTCGGAAGTTACTTAGGGCGTGATTGAGGAAATTGCCAGCATCCCAGTAGCCCTCTTTTAAATGTACTCCACTATGCCGAATGCTTATTCAGATGTCTCAGTCAGAACTTAACACAAGATGCCAGGCATAGTTTACCAATTCAATAGTAATCATCATAATAAAAGCAAATACATCTACAGAGCTTAAGCATGGTTGGCATTTTTCTGAATGTTTTAGTTTTAAGTGTCTTTTAAATTCATGTCTTGAACATAAGCCAAATATATTTAAATTAGTAATATACTCTCAATGTAGAAAAGGGGAAAAACATGGCCAAGTACAAACCGATCTAGATCACGAAGCCCTTGGTCTGTCTTCCATTTCTGTTTGAATTTTATACTAGAAAATGCTTTTCAGTGAACCTACAAGTATCTTGTCTTTCTTGCTGAAGGAGCATTGCTCTTTATGTTTCTAAATGGAAATGGAATGTGTAGTTTGCTTTTGAATATTTGAGGAACTGCCTCAATTTGGCTCTGAGTCTGAACTATATAGACGAGAGCAACCTTTCCCAAACAAACTGTGTTTTGTGTTGGAAGTTTCGTTCTGTGCTGTGAAAAAAAAATAACATGAAGGCAGCTTACAGTAACACACACTTACTGTCCCACAGTTTCTGTGGGTCAAGAGTCTGGCGGCAGCTTAGCTGGGTTCAGTGCTTCAGGGCCTGTCACAGGCTTCCATCCAGTGTTGATCAGGGCTGAGGAACTGTCTTCTTCTGTGCTCTGATGACTGAATTGGGTTCCTCAAGGCTGTTGGACGAGGAGCCTTAGTTTCTGGTTGGTTGTCGGCTGGAGGATGCCTTCAATTCCTTGCCATGTGAACCTGTCCAATACGTCCACTTGCTTCACCAGACTGTAAGCAGAGAAGGCAACAGATTGAACTGGTCAGCAAGATAGGAGTTGCAATTTTCTGTGATGCACTCCAAGAAGTGATAGCCCATCACCTGTGCCATATCCTATTGGTTAGAAGCAAGCTCCAGGCCCCAGCCACACTTAAGGGAAGCAAAGTACACAAAGCTATGAGTGCCACGAGGCGGTGATCTTTAGGGGCTGTCCTGGAGTCTCTCTCTGCCATGGGAATGAAGAAGGGGGGAAGGAAGCAAGGAAGGAGGAATGGAAGGAGCATGGATACTGTGCTCAACTAAGGGGGAGAACTGTTACCTATTATACCAATACTGAGGGTATTCATAATGCCTGTTCATGTATTAAAAGTTCCAAGAAGTCCTCTTAAATTTTTTGACCTAGTACTTCCCAAACACATTTGATCAAGAAACTCTTTTTTCCATCAAAAACTTTTCTGTAGAGCAAAGTTTGAGAAACATTGAATTGTAGGGGAAAAAAAAATATATATACATATATTTTTCTATTCATCCAAAAGATCAGTATTAAAACTGAGAGCTCGTGGATATATTCCTGGAATCCAAGACATTTTATATTTACAAATTTTGATGGCAGTTTAAAAAATTAAGAGGGGCAACTGTGGGTCCTCTGAATAACCAGCTGATAGCCAAGTACTGCCATGAGGTGGCATACCTCCGTGGGAAGGGATGCAGTGACTGTCACGTTGGCATTGGTTAATAATGCTTCAATGGACAAAGACGAATGACAAATGAAGTAGGACAAGCTTATGAATAGTGTGTTAGGACCAGATGAAGGCCAGAATTCATCATGGTACACTAGGATTTCACAGCAGCTTCAAGAGCGAAGAGCTGTGAAAGACTGAGTCATCACACCCCACGAGCGCGCTAAGGAATGCTGGCTTAGAAGGCCGAGGGCCCGATCGCTGAGTAGAATATTCATGTGGAACGTTGCTTTTCAGTTTCCACAGCATAACGTTAACCATTGTATTCATATTGTTAATTGGAACTTAATTGGTTTTATGGCTTTGCTTTTCTTTAATCTTCTAAATTGGCTTGGCTATTGTGGTTGTATGAAGCTATAAAAATAAATACTGTCCTTATAGTTTTGTGATTGCAAATGTGGAAGGGAAATTGCGGATCAAATGATTTGTCAGCCCTGGAGCTTCTTGGGGGAACTTCTGTTTTAACAGCTAACCGTGCGTTACCCCGGATGAGAAGCATTGCCACATTATCTTAATATTCCGTTGATCATGGGCAGTAGTGACTATTTCATCCCAATTAGGCTGAGAACACTTAGTGCCGGTCCCTAGTTGGACTAACCCTTTTTAAAGCTGAAGAGTAGGCATCAATTCCAATTGTCTCTTTCTCCATCAGCATGTTTTCGACCAGCGTGCTGGTGACCATGGCTCGGCCCGGGGAGGCTGGGAAGATCTGTGCCCTCCCCGCCCCCCACGCCCTCCATGGGGAGCTGTTGTTGATGGGCGCCGGTCAGGCCCCTTCGGAGAATTTTACAGGGAAGAAAACCAGTGTTTTTCTTTCCTGTTTCGTGTTCTGATTCAAGGTGGTTGCACTCTGTTACATCTGAAGATTTCCTCACCATCAGAGGGTTTGTCCCTCAGCGCTGGTCTCTGTGTGGAGGTCTAGATGACGTAATTCCACCACCTAAAACAGCCCCACGGCACCACCCTCTGAGGAATCCGGGGCTAATTTCATAGAGCTGTGGGCTCTGTCCAGCGAGAGAGCCGGGGCATACAGGAAACTCTCCTGTCAGGCATATATATACATAATGAAGATTTTCCCGTAATGCAGAAAAGAATAAATATGCCAAAAGTGAGACCACCTGGAGTCAGTAGGTCATGGAAAGAATTCTAGGAAGGAATCAGGTGACATGGACGTGACTGTCCTGATGTGCATTTAGTCCCGGGATCACCTAGGGAGCAGATACTGCCCCAGATACCAGTGAAACGCAAGTGTGCCCATTGTGTCTGGGGACGCAAACAGGTAAGCAAGTAATTGCATGAGATGTTGTACCAGAGGTAGGAACCAAGGGCTGTGGAGAAGGGGGGAGCCCAGCTGCTGAGAAAATTGTGGAATGTCTTCATGGAGGAGAACCTGCTTTGCAGGATCTTCACTGGAATCAAATGAGAAAATAGTTTCTCACTCCCAAAACACAATACAAATGTGATCTATTATCTTGACATGATGGGGAACCAGGCAGCCAGACACTTGCCTTTTTCTTGAATCCGTATTGTGTTTCTCAAGCTCCCAAATTTGTGATTTGTCTTCGCGTAAGTAAACACTCACAAGGAGACTGAGCCTCCTGAACTGCACATGCAGAGCTGTCGGGCGTTCTGTGCCTCCCACCTCGGGGACAGAGGTAACAGGGAAGACAACGTGCTCTGTCCCTTCAGGTGGCCCCCTGCTCTATGAGAACATCACGTTCGTCTACAACTCGGAGCAGCTCAACGGGACTCAGCGCGTCCTCCTGGATAACGTGCTGTCGGAAGAACAGTGCCGGGAGCTGCACAGCGTGGCCAGCGTGAGGACCCGGGAGCCCCACCGTGCTGGCCCGGCCTGAGCCTGCGTGTGCTTTGGTCCTGGGCTTACATGGAGCCAGGGAACCGGGCTTCAGATCACTTTCTTTAGGAGAAGGGCACTGATTGCTGGAGGCACCTTCATCGCCTTTGGGTTGGGATGATTGTAGTTCTGTCCAGATCAGGACATAGCTATTGGGTCTGGAAGAGCTAGTGGCTTAATTCCTAGGACAACAGTATCCAGCACGTGCCCTGCCTATCATACAAAGTAGCTGGGAAAATCTCTTTTATTTTTATCAATAATTAACCAGCCTATTCATTACTTCTATTCTGCCTATTTCTACAAAAAAGTGGTGGTGGCATTTTCTAATGAAAATGTAAGGTGGAAGTTAAATAAAGACCCCTCTTTGGATTGGAAGGATGAGCGATCCCGGGGTGCTGGGATAAAACGGGGATGGTTCTGAGCCTTCACTGTGGTGCTCAGCTTTCTGGCAGTTGAGGCAGAAAGGGAGACCTGATGAATTCATAAGCAGTTGTCATTAATAAGGCATCTCCTTATTTTGCTTCCAGAGCATCATGCTTGTTGGTGATGGATACAGAGGAAAAACTTCACCCCATACACCCAACGAAAAGTTTGAAGGTGCAACTGTCCTGAAAGCACTCAAAGTAAAGTCTTTACTTCTCTCGGATTTGAATTCCTAAGTGTCCATCCAGGACCTTCTGTGAAGAGCAGATACGGAGACGAGTTTAGGATAGAGGCCTATCAGGTCCCTGAAGGGAGCGAGTATGAAATGGCACCTTCGTTGTTTTTGATCATTCCTTTTTTCCTTCATTCAGTCACCAAATTATCAAACTTTATATTTTCTAAATTTGTATCTGATAAATAATATACAGCCCCTCACCCTGTTCTCAAAGAACTCAAGGTCTAATGGTGCGAACAAATTCAAACGAGTAATTATTCTGCAAGAAGTGTTGTTGGAGAGGAGGAAGGAAAGTGTCCCGACAGAACTGAAGAGGGGGTGGTGAGCTCCTAACCTTCCCTCTGGGATTAGACTTATTTCAGTGGCTCGTTTTCCATTTCCAACATCCCCAGGTACGTAGTAGTATTCTCACTAGCCGGTAAAGAGGTGAGCATCCTGCACTGGCTTAATACAACTTAGCGTTTGTTTTCCTCCAGGCTTCTGATCAACCCGGTGGTTTCTAATGTTCTTCCTTGTCTGCAGTTCGGCTATGAAGGTCGAGTCCCCCTGAAGAGTGCCCGTCTGTTCTATGACATCAGCGAGAAGGCACGGAAGATTGTAGAATCCTATTTCATGCTGAACTCAACCCTGTATTTTTCCTACACACACATGGTCTGCCGAACAGCCCTGTCTGGTGAGATTCCAGAGTTCCTTTCTACCCACAGTGAGATGAGAAAGAAAACAATGCAGAACAAAGCTCTCTTAACATTTCAGGCTAAGGGTTTAGAAGAGTTCTATATTTCTAGGGGGGTGGGGGCATAGCTCAGTAGCAGAGCAAATGCTTAGCGTGCATGAGGTCCTGTGTTCAATCCCCAGTACCTCCACTAAAAAAAACAAAAAACAAAAAACAAAAAAAAAAACCAGAAGAGTTCTGTGTGTCTGAAACAAAAGCTTCCTAGCTCTGATTTCCCTCTTTTCCCCTTTTCTACTTGTCGGCGCCTGATGGATTAGAAGACTGTCACGCTGCCTGTGTTCCTTTGGAAATCCGCTTCTCCTGCTTGCTTAAATCACGCAGAAAAATGCTTTTCTGCTCCAGATTTTGTATTTTGGGGTCCAGGAACCTGGAAATGACAGTCCCCATTATGTCCACAAGCACTGACAGGAAACTTGGAAGAATTGTTGAAGGAAATGTTCTTGAAAGGGCGAAGACCCTCCTCACCCCCTGCTGTCATTATTTCCTCTTTCCATCTTCTCATCTACACCCTCTTGAGTAGGAGGGAGAGAGAATGTCCCAGGCATAGAATTTCCACTTGTGAACTTTCAGCTCAATCAAATCCTTTTTTTTTTGACACTTGCATTTTATCCTCCTCCTTTTGCTGCCCCATACAAAGCACAATCCATGAGACGCACGGAGTTTCTGTATGTATATTTATATCAGAGAACTTTAAAGCTCAGAGAGGCAGGTGGGACTTGCCTATAGTCTTTTACATCGAGTTCATATCCAAGCAGGACCAGAGTCTCTTGACGACTTGCCCAGTGTTCTTTAACCCACTCTGCCCTCTGGTTCCTGAAATGGGGCCGGGGCACCAGCACTGGGAGTAGACAGCAGACTGTCAGCTTTGCTCTCAGTGGGTACCGCCCTTGATCTTATTCTCCCCTGTTCTCTTTTCTGGCAGGTCAACAGGATAGAAGAAACGACCTCAGTCATCCCATCCACGCTGACAACTGCCTTTTGGATCCAGAGGCCAATGAATGCTGGAAGGAGCCTCCTGCTTACACGTTCCGGGACTATAGGTACAGCCGGCACCCGATTCAAAACCAAGCTTTTGCCCAACAATTATCAAAACCCGTGGCGACTAGAAAGCCGACCTGTTTTGCTTGTCATCACAATCATCTCGATGAAGTGGAGATGCTCTAATAATCTTCTGAAGCTGCTGTCGCAACTGAGAACTGACTCTGTCGTCTTTTCTTTATTATACTTGTTTTTAAGTATTCTTATCTTAAAAATCCCTGTGTGTTTTGTTGCATTCCATCCAGAAAGTGTCCATTTTGTTTTACTATAAAAAGTAAAGTTTATGTCTTTTTTTGATCACTTGGATTTCAATTAAACATATCCTTTGTGGTTTGTGTATCTTAGTCTGAGAACACAGGGTGTGTAACTCGACATGCATGGGGATCTCCTCTCATCGCTTACCTATGTCTGTATTTTATAATAAGAAACTGGAAACTCAGGAGAAAAGAAACATTTTCTCTTATGGAACGATATTTTAGTGTGTAAAGAAAAAGGTCAGAAGTTGTAGTCCCCATGTTGTAATAATGTGTTCATTTAGGACTACACTGTGCTCCATACAAAACCATTTATTGAGCGCCCCCTATCTGCAAGGCTAGGCTACACGCCTTGGAGCAGTCTAGCTAGTTAAGGAAAACTAAATCCTTCAGAGTAATTAGTATAAAAGGAAAGAAGAGAGTTTTAGGTAGTGTGGACAAGTTCAAAGGGCTGGACTAAATCTAGTTAGGTTTTCTTTGGAGGAAGTGAAATGTGAGATGAGGTTTGAAATATATTTAAAATGTTAACATCAATGGAATAAACAAACGCTTCAGGGGTATGACCCAACGTCTGATCTTACTCTTGAGGATTATGAAGGTCAATCACTTGAATGTCTGTCTCAGAGGAAACTCACTCATCAGGCTGGTCAGCTCACCCAAGTCCTCAGTGTTTTGTGGTCGTGTCGTGTAAACACATACGTGTACAAATGATCTCCCTTTCTTCTCACAGCGCTCTCCTGTATATGAATGACGACTTCGAAGGAGGAGAATTCATATTCACGGAGATGGATGCCAAGACTGTGACTGTGAGCAAGCCTATTCTTGCAAACTTATCTAGTCTCAGTTTTGCCAATTTTCAAGGACTGCTGGATTTCAAACATTTCTGAGCTTGAGATTTCAAGAGTTGGAGGGGAACCCAGTAAATTCATACATCATAAAATGTTGGAAATGGAACCATCAATAAAAATCTTCTTGTCCATTTTACAGATGAGTAATTTAAAGAATAGATATTAAGGATTTGCTCATGATCGTATAGCGAGTGAGCGTTAGACTCAGAACCAGAACCTAGGTCTTCTGATTGTTTGTCAAGTAATCTGAAGGAAATATTCTTAAATTACCCAAGACTAGGGCAAGTCAAATGATTCTATAGAATGCTTTCAAGTAGCCTGGTTCTCTACATGCTTAGAGTGAGCATTGGCCCTCACACCCTTAGTTAACTAAGTTATTATATGTGTGTATTATATAACTAAGCTATTATATGTATATTATATGTGTGTTAACTAAGTTATTATATGTATTATAATAACTAAGTTATTATATATATAAGTATATATATATATGGTTCTGATGGTAAGTAAGATCTATACTTGAAAATTGATACACACACACACACACACACACACACACATACGTATGCATTATGGATTCACACTTTGGATGAGATTCTAAACACACCTTCACAGGTAGAAACCAAAAGTTGAATTCAGCTACCATCTTCCTAAGCAAGCTAATGCCTTTGGGAAACCAGCCTACTGAGCACTTATAAACCACATAGCAAGAATCTTTTGGTCTTTAAGCCAAAGTTTATATGACATGGTAGAAAAACAGGTTTTCCAATTGAGGAGGTAACTGAATTATAAATAGATTATGAGGTATCTCTTTCTTCCATACAAAATCAAAATAGCTGAGACATGTAAGTGATAAACTTCAAGGATTTTGCATCATATATGCTATTTCCACAACTTTTTCTGAGTTTTATGCCTTTCCCTCATAATTTCATATTCTGTACCCATTTCTCATGTCATTCATAGCATTACTATTGGAGTGTAAGCAAACAATATCAAAAACTATATAATTACTGGATTTAAAGGGGAAACCTATGGGAAGTCTGGTTAAAATTACCCAGAAACATTGATATAACTAAGAAAACAATTTCATACAATTTAACATATTGACTATTTAAAAGCTCATGCTGCCTCATGCTTTCTTGTAAAAAGCTTAAATATGAACATGGGAGTATTTTGATACTTCATGATCTGGGAAATTAAATCAAGATTGATGATCTGGTGTGGAGTTTAAAATCCTGATACAAAATTATCATTTTTTTGAAAAGCGTCTATGCAGAGAGGACTTTATTTCTGAGCTCTGCTAACACTAAGACTGAGGTTCAAAAATGTATCTCACACAATTGGAAAGAAAATCAGACAGGTGTTTGAAAAGATTTCTTTGCTTCCACGCCATCTAGTGGCCATATTTGGAACTGCTCAATGTTTAAAACTAAGTAATAACCTAGAATATTATGTATAAATCAGTAATTTATTAATTGTTGAATATGTTAACTGTAACTCTACTTCTTAAAGATATGAGAGCAGATAATACTCCACTTTCAGAGTTTTATAATTTAAAGAGAAAGGTGTAACTATTTTAAAAATTAATGGCTCTAACCACAACCATCCCCCAAAAAAGTGAAAGAAAAAACTGATTTAAAGAATTAAAAATTTCTTTTCCTCCTGCTCTTACAAGGTATTGAATATAGTTCCCTGTACTATACTGTAGAACTTTGGTTTTTTTATCCAGTTTATGTAAAGTTTTAGTATCTGCAAATCCCCAAATCCCAATTTATTGCTCCCCACCCCTCCCCCTGTCCCCCCGAGAACCATAGTTTGTTTTCTATGTCTGTGAGTCTGTTTCTGTTTTGTCTAAACTATGTTTTGATGAAAAAGCTCCAAGTTGAGAGATTTTTTTTTCCCCAAAATTAGTTCCACTTCAGATTAATGAACATGGTGGGCTTTGGGGGTATTTTGTAAATAATTAAAATTCTTAGATAACCAGTGCCAATTAGAAAGAGAAATTGATAGTTCTCCTTTTCAGTTTTCCTTCCTTTGACTCTGGAGGGACAGATGAGCAGGAAAATGCCCCAACTTTGGGCTATGCAAGGAAGAAAAGTCTTCGAAATTCTCTACTTTGGAAAAATCTGGAAATTGTGTAATTACACAATAGTGGCTGAAGGTTTACATTTATTCTGGACAAGCACAGCACAAAGCTTTCTCTGATTTTAATCACGAGTTAGAGGCAAAGCAAAAGGAATTTTCTTTTATCACACTTGGAAGATACACGGATTGTTTTCAACAGCAGCTTATTTGTGAAACATGGGCCTTTTGGAATTTTGGGTTCTCTGTGCCAGTTTGAAAAAGATAAAATTTAATGAGTTCCATTCGCTTCATGAAAAACTAAACTCAGGGAAGCTGTGTTCCAAAAGTATGTTTACAATCATCTATTTAAACTTCAGCATGTATTTTCCCGTAGAAGCCGTGTCGTCAGCGGAGCTTGTTTGTCCCTCCGCACCCCTGGTGGCTAAGAGGTGACGCTCTCCAGTTGATCATATCGGTCCTTTGCGAACCCACGCACCTGTAATCAATCCCAGCTGCTTCAGCCACTTGATCCATTCTTTTCCTAAACTTCCTTAAAGTTCTTCATGTGTAGCATACTTTTCATTCTTCCAGTTCCATCAGAAAGAAAGCGCTACATGGTCCCCACACCCTTTCCTTAGTGTTATAAGATGCTGATGCCAAGACTCCATAATCCCATAGAAGCAATAACAACCATGTGTGGATAAGTGAGTCCTGACCAGTACTGGGGAACGAACTGCTCAGAAACTCGAAATTAGATCCTAAAGCCATGTGTAGAGGAAGGCTTTTATGTCCTACGTCATATGCTCTAAGTATTAGTTATTTTGCTGTTTCTATGTGGAAATGCACAACAATTTCCTCCTCCAGAAACACAAAACCAGATCGATACTGAGGGCACCAGTAACTAGGAAACTCCAGAATCACATCAGAAAGTCACTTAGATAAAGCTGCTTAAGAAAAGCAACTCTCTCTACCAAAGACAAATCACTCCTCAGCTATTACGAATAGAAGAATAACCAGAAACTGACGGCTTTTCTCTGCTCTCCCCTTTAACACACACACACACACACACACACACCCCTTGGTCTCAGGCTTTCTGGCTCCTTCACCTACCTTTAACCTTCCACATGTTGGTCACACAGTCTGGGAGGACCTGTGTTAGGTAGTATCCAAG